TAAGAAATAAAACGGCGGATATTCAATTCATACTTAGAAATTGCCATGTATGAGTCACTGATATGTGCTTGAATTATGGTTGAGTTACTACAAAAAAGGGTAACAAAACCTTGTTATTTATTATACATGACAATTTAAAATGTTGCTCTAGATTTTAGCAAGGCTCATGGAAGTTGACACACGTGATTTGCTTTTATGAGCCATATCAAATAATGGATCTGGCCCCCGGACCTTGAATTTGACACCTGTGCTTTAACGTGAAAATAAAAATGTATTTTAAATTTGACATAGCACAGAGAAAAGTTTGAACAACCCTGCCCAAAATGAATGATTAAAGCCCCTCTTACCTTTTCACTCTCATCTGCCCACGTTCCTGGTAAACCAGCCTCGGGTTGTGTCCATGGCAATGAGATGATGTGCTGGCGTGCCACTGTGAAATGGACACAGACTCACGCATACACATTCAGATGCTCATGAAATGCCAGACACAACCGTGTCAATCAATGCCTTTGATGGCTTCCTGCAGCTCTAACCTTTCCCTATTATGGCACACCTGCAGATGGGATGTGGTGGCGCCCTGATGGCTCGCGAAGCTGCAGGAGGGTTGTAATGAACCCCGCGATAACTCCCACCTCCACTTGTGCTAGTCTGTGTCGTGTATCTGTTTACTGAGGGTTTTTTTTTTCAATTCCATACTGTACTCCTCCTACAGTAGCTCAATCTGGAGTTGTTTGTTTTCATCTGCAAAAACGGGGTGCGATAAAAGGGGACCCGACGGACTCCCATTCTATCTCCCCTTGTTGGTTGTCGTTTTTCCATATTGCTTGTGTCTGTTCCATTTTATTGCACCCCGTGGTACAGCGACAATAAAGCTAGTCTGATTCTGATTCTGAAAAGCAAAAACCCACGACTAATTGATCACCAAATCCATTGGGATTTTTTTTTTTTTAATCCCCCAAAATTATTCAAAAAAACACCGATTAATGTCCAATTTGTCTTTTCTCTGACAAAAGCTGATTGGCTTGGACAAATATTGGAAAAAAAATCAATGGGTGCCACACAGGGGTCCGTTCAGGGGTCCACTACTCTGTTATCACTGTTCATTTAACCCTTTCAGGGACAGCGGTTACTACAGTGGACAATTTATCATGTTATCAGGTTACAGGGTGCATGAAAGGGTTAAAGTTTGATACTCACATCTGCATGTATTTCCGTATTCATTATTTCTGTACAGTTGCTGCATAAACTACTGCTCTGAGTCTGCTCATTGTAATTGGCTGACCTTGTAAAATGTACATTGCTTGTTTTCATGATTTGATATTCTTCTGCATGTGTGCTATTAATTTCCCCGGTGCAGTGGCGGACCCTGAGGGCCAGCAAGGCCTTCTCTGCTGGCCTAAACATTCTCAGAAAAGTAAATTTACTTTTATGTATTTTATGTTATTTTATAATTTATGTGATTTTATTTTCATAAATATGAAACAAAATTATT